AACTACCATTCCTAATCTCACCACCGTAATCTAGCTGAATGTGCAATTAACAAATCTGGTCCAAACAATCTTGCGCCATCCACAGCTTATTTTATAAAACGAAGCATTCGCACGGCAAGAGAGAGTGATAGAGAGAAAGAATTAAAAAGAATATAGGCATGTTAACTGGACCACATCCAGTTCTTTGCCCTTGACGTGAGGAAATAGGAATCAGAAAGTAATAGTGAGAGAGTGAAAAAGAGAGAGAGATGAAACTTGCACACCACATATTGCTAATATATTTTGCAGGGCTCACATAGTTTTTACGGCAAATAATGTCGGCCTGTTTTGAAAGAATCTGCTCGCTAACTTAAACACAACATTTATTGTAATAGCCTCGTGACGAGGCGATTGTTGCCCCTTTGCCGCTCTTAGCCTGGTATTAGTTAACCTTTTTCTTTTTGCTTCAAAACGTTGTCACAATGCCCATTCTCTGTGCCGAAACAGAATTATACATTGGTAGAACCATTCCAGCCGCTTACCTTTGTGTAGTTTTGAAAAGGGTCTTCAAAACTACTTTCACAGAGATTCTGCGAACATATTTGGATGTCATCATGGTCATTGGGCTTTGAGCACAAATATTTCTTTTTACCTTATATGGCTGTTTGCCAAATAATGTTAAAACCTCTGGGAACAGAATACCTCAGCCTTGCTCTGATACCTCTCTTCGCTTTCAGTGTGAAATACTTTGTTGAGAATCGCAGCATAGCACTAGAAAGTGTATAAAAAGATGTCAAGTGTTGCATGCTAACTTGATGTGAGCGGCCGCCAAAATATTGACAGTCACGTTGTTGGTCAAAACTCCGAAATTCTCAAAGTCCCGTGGCACTTTGTTGGTGTTAATTGAAGGCAAAAAAGTCTAGCACAAAAACTGGTTCGCTTCTCTTTTTGTTTAGCAAGCATTCATGGTTCTTTCATCTTTTCGTTTCCTCTGTTTGTTTTTATTAGAAAACTAGAAGACGTAACAACAAACTAAACCTTCCTCGTGAAAACAAACAAACTACGTTTGCTCATTTTTATGAGCTCTTCGGTGATAAAGCACTGTTTTTTAACAACATTTCTTTTTCGAGTTCACCAAAAAAGGAAACAGGAGAGGGAAAGACACGGAGGTTAACCAGCTCAAAGTGAGCTGTCCCACACTGCAGATGAGGAAAAAAGTAATGCTGGTTTCAAACAGTAAGGGTTCAAAACGAGACAAAGCGACCTGGAGCGCATACACATGCTTACATTCAGTCACTTTTATGTTGCTTGTGACACCACTACACGTCTTCAGTCACGTGACCAAACAGTGCACCTGTCATAGTAAAAACGGAACGCCACCAGTTTGACTACAAACTTATGTGAAATAGCTGGCACAAGTACAAGAAAATTAAGCTTCATACTTATGCCGATTCTTGGATTAAAAATAGCTGCTCTTGCAAGATGACAAAGCTTGTTCCAGAACTGTCCCATACTCTGAAATGGCAGTTTCATTAAGCACTATCGAAAGAAGGCGTGCAACTTCACCCTCCAAATGAAATTCTCCGTTTTACTAATTCAAGCGATGCCTATCAAGGTCGGTTTCATAATCATACTCCCGTAATCAACGGGAAATATCGATTATTGATGTCTTCATTTAATTATCTCCGTAGCTATCATACCAATCGACAAGTGCAAGTTATGTCTGAAAAACTGATAGCATTGCTTTACTGCCTACATTAACAGGTACAGTATCTGCAGCATAAAAATTTTATAAGTTGCACGTCACAGCCGACAATATGAGGATGGCGTTCTTTAAAATATAAGCTCAAGAAAGACCATCGCAAAAATGCGGTATCATGATCGGCAGCTGTTTTTTTAATACGTATAAGTCAAATAGCTCATTATTTCGAAAATAACTTAGGCAACGTCATTTAGTTCAGTGAGCTTGGTTCATTCCAAGAAATTAAATACAAATATTTGGGTAGACAGAAATGTAAGTACCGTAGCATATCTATTCTACTTGCCAATGACTAACGATACTGTAAATACCATGGAAAAGAACGGTGTCTGCGGCGAAAATGTTCATATTCAGTCCAACATGTAGATGAGATAACTGCTCTCTGGCAACATTGACTGCGGGCCACGTGCTTAGATATCTTTCATTAAAGTTCTCAAATAACTTCATTAACTCTAAATGCTTGTGCCGTAATATGGAGGCACACAGATTAAAAAAAAGCGAAATTGTCAGGCTGTGTTTTCCTCAGAGTTCCCAAATGCATTCGAGTGAAGCTAGTAGTTTTCAGAAAAAAAAAACACTGCCCCCTCCGCCCTTAAAAAAAAAAGCGGCGTGACATTCTTGAGGAAGCCCAAAAAAAGCTGTTGTACACTGTTCTCATTCTTCAAAATGTGTTTAAATATAATAAACGAGATCACGGAACTTACGAAGGGGATTTCAAAAATGCTGTGTGGCGTGCATATTGTGCTACTATCAGCGAAATGGCATGTTTGCTTTTTTTAAAATTGTCTAGAGGGCCAGTTCCAATTAACCTTATGCAAAATCGCTGCCATCTGTAGAATGTATAAGACAGCTAACAATAGGCGCCTTGTTGGAGGCTTGTGGCCGATTCAGACTGCCCTATTCTAGCCACCCTAGTATTGCTATAATTGCCGTAACTTCTTGGTTGTATTTGCTTTGATAGTAGGAATTGGTGCATAAGAACATAAGACGAGTGTGTAAGAGCCTGTACACATTTCCGGTATTTCCAAGTTATGATGCTGACACATATTACTTCAAAAAATTGCCTCACAATGCTGAGAAGTTTTAAATTTGGTATTTATGGACTGCCTTTTTGACGTGTGTTTGTAAATTACAAGATACGTCAAGAACATTATGTTCACGTCGTCAGTTCCACGGCCTACTTGCGCACTGCAATTTCAATTCATTGCAGCATGCTAGGCAGTTTTATGTCTCCCACTGAACTCTTGCGAAACTGCCTAAGCTCTTAACCAACTATAGCGCACCGATGGTCGGATGTAACGCCCTGGCCGGAAAGCAAGTTTTTCACTTTTATGCAAAAAATATGACACATTTTAAGTATCTGTTAGCAGCTTCAGAGCACAAAGGTGTAAACAGAGGATTCTCCTGAGAGAACCAGCTTTTGGAAAAGCTTCATGTATGCTTTCCTCGGGATGTATATTTAAGAAAAAAGTGAGTGGCTCGGTCAGGACATCTGGACCGCCCCTCTGAAATTCGAGAGCTTTTACATGAATTGCTTGAAAATTACGCCTAACGCAGCAATATTTGTGCAATATGTCCCACAAATTGCTACTCTTTTATTAAACTCCAGATTAAAAAAACTGTACAAACAACACGCTCCCGCAAAAACGGTCCATTTGATGAGAATAAATGACTTGCACAAGATACTTCTCGGACTTGTGATTGTTATTGCTATGTAATGAAATAAAACAAATTTTTTCAACAGCAGCGCAGCCATGCCCATGCATGTAGCAGTGAGGTAGCTGTGAAGCTCGTACATGCAGCCTTTTTTTTTCTGTGGTGGCATTCAAGCACAGGTTGTGAAAACTGTCTCGTTCAGGCATGACGCGAAGGTGTAGTGATAAGTGGCGATATTTTAGGCCACATACAGCATCCATTAAAGACGACGAGCGTAAACACAGCGTTGTTTGCAAGGAGTAGCCGGAGCCACTGAACGGTTTGTTGCTTCGCGTCGACCGCGAGAAAATTAAATAACCTAAGGGTTAGTTTTCTGCAAACATTTTTCTTTTAGTTTCCCAATTTTCATGCCCTGCACAACACGGTGCACAAAAATAGGACTGCATTGCCATTCCGATCATCTGACACATGTTGATATGTATGTTTCGTGTGTCCACTTGCGGAGCGAGCGTAGCCTTCAATATAGCGAACTGCTCATGGCGCCCGCTAGATGGCAGCAGCTTTTGCATAAGGTTTTACCAGCTCAACTCCCTGACGCATGTTTTTCAACACTCAGCTGCATGCCATCCGCCACAAAGGTGCAGCGGCGGTTAGGGCGCTCAGCTGCTGACCCAAAGGTCTCGGATCCCAACCTGGCCGCGGTGGTCGCATTTCGATGAAGGCGAAATGGTAGAGGCCCTTGTAGTGTGCAGCGTGACAGTACGTTGAAAACCAGATGGCGCAAACTTTCGGAGCCCTCCACTACAGTGTCTCTAATAATCATATGGTTGTCTTGGGACGCAAACCTTAAATACTAATATTAAAACTTATCTTCCCAAGGACATCAACGAACACGCTATTGGTGAACGAATGAGCACTAAAATAAATACTTTGCTAGATAAATGAAAATGAGCCAAAAAACTTGAGAAGTCACTGAACAATTCTACAAGTGACTTGGCGAAAGAAGCCAGAACTCGCTTGTTATAGGCAAAACTGGCAACTCTGGTAATCCTGCACAGATAACAAGCTTCACCTCATGTGACAGGCATTGATAATTTTTCAGTTTTCTCATTATACAGCACAATATTATATTCATTGCTTGGGTTTAATGTCAGAAAGCTATGATATGGCTATGATAACGCTGCAGTGATGGTCTCCAGAATTTTCGACTGATCGGGGCTCTTTAACCTATGTTAAATGTTAGTACATGGACTTTAAGCATTTTCGCCGCTATCAAAAATATGGTTACCGCAGCCGTTGATTGATACCGCAATATATAATTTAACATAACGAAAAAAGAAAATCCCCGCAAGGTGAGTGAATGCAGGAGCTGAGAAGCTATAGCAGTATTGCGTATACTACTTTTGAGTAATGCGGAGTGGAAACGTGTCTTCAAGATCTTTCTGTTTGAAATAAATTGTTTGAATTGTGAAAGAAGCTTCACTTTCTTTTATTAATATTTCTACAAACCACATTTATAAAATTTTACAGCCCTGAATAGGTTACAGTTTCAATACCGGGGAGCATCAAGCAATTCTCTTTATGATGTTGTTTATGGGTTTTACAGTGCGAAAAGTTCATCGCTGGAGCCCAGAGCTTTACAAGGCGAAGTCCTAGGATGCTCTTCAAGCCTCGGAGACCCTTCATCAAACCAAGTCATCTATAGTACATCGCAGTAGTTCGTCATATATGCATTAGAGGAATAGTACATTGCAGTAGTTCATCATATAAGCCTTGAAGGAAGAGGTAATGAAACATCACTTTATATAAACGCTAATACGTAAGAGGTGTAATTAGTACTTGTTGATGAACAAAAATGTGAGTAAATAAAGACATTCACCCTCTGCTCGCGTGTTTATGTGCAAAAATTTGTGTATTCAGTTAACTATTCTTGCTAAAATTCTAGGCAATAACAAGGTGAAGCACCTGCGTGAATAAACTGATTCACCTATCAACTTCCTGTGAAGTAAAATCATGCTGAAATAAACTTGATGTGACATTCCCACTCCCTAAAGGGTCACAGTGGCAGCCATTGTAGAAAATCATTCAGGCTCAGGACTTCAAGTACGTCTGTGTAGATTTGAAAAAGGAGGCATTCACTTGGGGCTTAAAATCACATAACGGTAATTTAGCAGTGACTCAACCCTGACGGCACCCTGGTGGTCTTCATAATACTGTAAACATGATCTAAAAGCAAAGGCACAAAAACATTACCAAAGAACACAAAATAACGACACCCAAGACACACTGTACGGGAACATAGAGGTACAACCGTGTGAGGTTACAGATGACACAATGCATAAGAAAAAATACTTGGTCCAGAGAAACAGAGATGTAAAAACAAACTGACCCGGATGTAAAAGTGGGCAGACCAACTAAATTCATTTATAAATCCGTTAGACCAACTCTAGAAAGTGTAAATAGAGGCAGAACATTTATCATATAAATAGGTATTACATGAAGTAGTCTAAAAACAAAGACACTACTGCCACAAAGTTACGCAAAAATAAATAAATGTTGAAGCTTTCAATAATTACCACAAGGCTTGAAACAGTGAACATGGACCATTCTGCAGACGCATCCGGTTCCATGTAGGTTGCTGCAGGGATTTAGCTCGGTAAGGTTAACTTGTTACTAGGCTTTAGCTAGGTGACGTTATGTTGTTTCTAGGTTGCTTCAGAGCGCGGACAGCTTCAAGTTAAACCACAGAGAGCCACAGACATTTTTATTTATTTTATTTACAAATACTGCTGCCTCACAGTTCGAGACATTGCAGGAGTGGGTCCATAACAGTGAATACACACTAAACTAACAAAACACATGGTTTGGTAGTTGCGAAGGTGGCTTTTGGGAGGGGCATGCAAGTGGAGATAGTGGTTTCCCAGACTGGCGGCAATCTGCAAAATGAAGCAGAAGACACTGTAGCGACTGCACATCATGCCGCTGCCGCACCCACATGACACTGATGTCCAAATTTCAGAGCCGGAAACTCGCGCTGAAACCGAGTGGTCGCACCTGCCATAGATCTGCGGGCACAACGTCGTTGGCGTGGTAGGCATCACCTCGTCGTCTTTGCGCAGTCGCCATTACACTTCAAATAAAGCTTCACTAAATGCTCAATAAACCTTTTCTTATCTTCTGGTGACGTCTGTCTTCAAATGTGAATAATTGCTTGCCTCTAGTCTGTTCCCTTCTCTTTATTTAGTGGAGCAGCAGTGATTAGTGGGATTTGCTCCATGCAAGTGGCAAGTACCCATTCATGCAGATGAATTATTAATGCGACTAATTTCATAGTCAAGCAATAGCACCTCAGTCATTCCTATCTATCTATCTATCTATCTATCTATCTATCTATCTATCTATCTATCTATCTATCTATCTATCTATCTATCTATCTATCTATCTATCTATCTATCTATCTATCTATCTATCTATCTATATCTATCTATCTATCTATCTATCTATCTGTCATGGCATCAATGCAGATGAGATATTTGTCGTGTACATCGTGAAACCCTTTCCTTCATTCACGTGTGAGTGAGTGAGTGAGTGAGCGAGCAAGCGAGCGAGTGATGAGTGAGTGACTGAGTGAGTACAACTTCATTTTGGTCCAGTGCAGGCGCTGAGTTTGCGACGTGCCACCACACTACTGCCGTGTGCGGACCGGCAGGTCTATTCTGACGGCCCTGTCGCGGGCTCCTTAACTATCTAATAACTCTCTATTAACTATCTACTACTCTGCATTAACTCTTATTTCTAACTCTTCCCATTCTAGGACTTTGAAAACCTCCTGTAAGCACGTGGACAATAGCATCGGGGAGATTGTGTCCCCCGGCCTTACACCCTTCTTGATTAGTATTCTGTTGCATTCTTTATGAAGCACTATCATAGCAGTTGATTCCCGGACACAATAGCCGAAGGAATGGGGATGCTAGCGACAGTCGTTTGAGAGTTTGTGTCAGTCTAGAAACGGTGATAACCGGCTTTCAACATATTTTCACGTGATTGTGGTATGAAGATTTTATCGAAGAAAACGTGGGGCAGCGGTCAGCAGCGCTGTCAATCAGGGGAAAATTGAAGAAACAAAAAGATTGAAAATAACGGTTAGAGCTGAAATATAACCCAGGCCAACTGTTTAGAAGTAAATTATTTTACCACAGACCAACGCCAGTGCTTCAAACGGCTTACAAAAAAAAACAGCTCATAATGGCGCAGTATTGCGGCAACGTCAACTTTGTTAGTAGAGCTTGGTATTGGCTGTTATAATGCTGTAAAGAACATTACAATATAACGCTTATGACTAGGCACGCTGTGATGAACCATGTTTAAGCCTGGAGGAATACGCCAAATATCACTTCTTATGATTTCCCCAATATCACAGAGTCACGTGCAGATTATTTCGATAAAACTGACAGCTGTATTCTAAAAGGAGTACCGATGTTACATCGTACTATACCATTAAATAATTATGTTGTGGGTGTTAGCTAGTTGACGTGCCTAGAAAGTCTACGATCAGCCCCATAAATAAGAGAAAGAGAGAGGGAGATGCTTTGGATTTTCCTCCCGCTTTTTTTCTATTAATTGTAGACTTCTCAAACAAGCACTTTCTTCAAGATAGCTGATTTCTTCAAACGTTTAAGGTGCACTGACACAAAATTGCAAAGGCGAGATTATGAGTGAGAGAGATCTACCTATAGCCATACACGAAATATCTACGTTTTATTTACGACAAGTATTGACTACGACATATTTCAAATAAATTTCAAATTTTCAAACAAATTTCAAATGTCACGCGATTCGGCAAATTGTTGGGCCCTTCGCGAAGTCGACACCAATGCGGCGGGAGTGTGAACAAACCTACGTCAAGAGATCACTGTTTGCTTGGCACGCGCCTTACACATGCGGTACCTGTGATTTATTCCTCCGTGTTTGTGGCTGGTTTATTCCTCCATGTATGTGTGGCACCCGCTCACGTACGCTCTTTCGCCCGATGCCCACGTCAATATTTTGCGTAGCCACGTGACCAGCTAAGTTTACCTTGCTAGCAGAACTGCTCCTGCCCAACTTGGTGCTCTTTGAAACTGAAACTACGTCTGGGTGCTCTGAAAAAGTCTCTAAACAAATAACAGTCTCTAAACAAATAAAAGCCTCTAAACAAATATCTCCTCGAATAGCACAGCTGGATTTGCCTCATTAGAAAAGGGTCTAGCGTTAAACGTTGCCAAGCTCAGGAACTGATAGCGGCCTGTCCGGACCCAGATATTCTTAGCACCCTCTGCTGCGTTGCAGATCTGACCACCACCGTGTTCAGTTGCTTGGCCGTGAGTTATTTGGTGTATGCAAGTGGGAGGTAGTGGCAAGATACTGCACTAGGGTGGCCAATCCTTTTCTCGTAAGGGAGTGCCTTACTGGCGGTGGTCACCGTTGAGGCTGCACCCCAGGCCTCCTAAGCAGTGCCATCGCCACGCGGATTTTTTTTAATTTGGTGGGGAACTGCGCGGCACCGGGATTCCAACTACGGACATCTTGCTTGCGAGGCTGATGCTAACCACTACGTCAACGCTGCTTATCTGAGTCAGCGCTCCTTTAAAACCTTCAAACACATATGCAGCTTTTCTGGACACGAGTGGTTCAGTTCGCTTGAAGGACAGCACGTGGCATATTGACCCTAAAGAATTTGAAAGTCCTTTCATGGTGTAGCAGGGACGTAACGGTAAATAAGATATAATCACAAGAAACGGTGCCGACACCCTGAGACGTTCACTTAACCTCAGTGCGCAGATAAAAGAGCGCGGTGTGTCGGCGTTCTCTTGATGGCGATGACTGGCAATCAATTGACAGATTTTCTAGAAATATTGTACCAGACAGCTCGCTGCATTCCGCATGAAATGTCTGGCCGTTATAGACGCACCTTTGGTGTACTTGGTGTATCAAAATAAGTGTTTTTTTCGTCAACTCCCTAATCAATATATTGCGTCGACTGACCGGAGTGAGATGGGGTAGTTCATGTTCTTCTTTATTTCGTGTACATTCAGCATAATTCGACAAAGAATAGCTTAGTCTGCCCCGGTTTACATGGGATATCACGTAACATAGAGGAGAGGATTCAAAGATTGTTGGCCAGAAGTCTTCGTATATGTCTTGGTGCACCGTGAGTGTCTGCCAGTGCTTTAGTAATTGCGGAGTCTCGTCAACCGACTTTCCATGCTATGAGAATTACGGAAACTTGCCGGCATTATCTTCGGTTGGCAGCTCAACACGCTAATCATCCCCTATACCTAGATATTCAGGAGAAATCAGCTGCAAGAATACATAAAAATATAGTAGAATCCAAGAGTTTACTGCTTACGCACGAATACTTGCCTCCATGTGCATCCCACCTACCATGGCGACTCTCTATCCCAGGTATTACAACATCGATTCTGGGAATAAATTGTAAGAACAATCTGCCCATCATCTTAATAAAGCAATAAACTTTAACACACCTTTATACAAATTATGAAGACTATATTCACGTGTACACCAACGGATCATGTCTGAATCAAAGCTCTACGTCAGCATTCTTTGTACCTGCATACCAAGCGAGAAAAGCTTTTAAACTCAGCCATTTCACAACATTCTCAACGGCAAAACTCTATGCAATACTCAATGCTTTACGATTCATATGTTTACAGCCAGGTCCACTTCGATGGGTAGTTATCAGTGACTCACAGTCCTGATTAGTTTCTTTAAAAGGAATCAGCTTGGGAAATAAAGCTAGTGAGCTCGCATATAAAATACAGAGGACGTATGCCATAGCAAAAGATTTAA